GTGCAGCTATGACATACAACTATCTACTGGGGCTTTGGGGGGAAAAAATAAATAAATAAAATCTTTATAAAGAGTGCATTCTTTAATGGTTAAAGCAGAGGTACAATGTATGATATGCCATAAGTCAGGCTTCTTTAGTTCAAGCTGAATTAGTTTTGATCCAGAAGTTACCCTATATATCTCACTATGTGAAAATCTGTTGTCACCTGACTCATTGGTTACTTTCTAATCCCCTCCAAAGATATTTTATATACTTTATCTAGCTTTCATGGTTTTATTTCAGTAGAAATACAAACTCTTAGTCATGGTTGGAATCAGAATCCTCCCCAATTACATGTATATATAGGATCTATAGACCCCTATATGATCTGACCCTCAACCAGTTCTCTGACTCCTTCTTCTGTTCCTCTTTTCCTCATTTCAGTTTAGACACCTGGGCCTTCATTTTGAAGGCTTAGTCCCATGTTAGGGTCTTGAACTTGTTGTTAACCTCTGCTTTTGTAACACTTTTGCTACGGTCTAAATGTTTGTTTCCCCCCTAAATTCATATGTTGAAATCCTAATGCCCAATGTGATGGTATTAGGAGACAGGGCCTTTTGGAGGTGCTTAGGTCATGAGAGTGCTGCCCTCATGAATGGGATTATGTTCTTAGAAAAGAGACCCCACAAAGCTCCCTAGCCCCTTCCACCATGTGAGGACACAGCGAGAAGTCAGCAGTGTGCAATTCAGAAGAGGGCCTTCGCCAGAACCTGACCATGTTAGCACCCTGATCTCGGACTTCCAGCCTCCAGAACTGTGAGAAATAAATTTCTGTTGTTTATAAGCAGCCTAGTCTGTGGTATTTTGTTATTGCAGCCCAAACAGACTAAGATAACTTTAGATCCAGTTTTTCACATGGTTGTCATCTCTATGCCGATTGACTCTTAGCTCATTTATCACTCAGAGAGCCTTTCCTTAGCTGCCTTTATATGAAAGCCCAGTCACCCCATACATCTTTTATTTTCTTCATTGCACCTATACTATCTGAAATTATCTTGCTCTTTGTTTATTGTTCTATTGTTTATCCCTCATCTAAGCCAGTTCTTGAGCAATGCCTGGCATGTAAATTCAAAAAAAAAAGCTCAACAGATATCTATTGAATAAATTAGGGAAGTGAGGATCAAGAAACAAAGGGTACAATAGAGAGTAAAGTGAATTCCTACCCTTTTTGTGTTTGTGATGGACATAGTCTATTTAATATTGAAAAGTCAATGAGGCCAGGAGACCCAGGTTGGGTCAACTATCTTCCCACTGGCTTGGGGGTTTGTGCCTTCTGTAAAATCTAGACTTGCCTGACACAGCCTGAGCTGGCTGGGTTCCCAGATTTCTCTTGGTTACTCGCTTCTTGGTCACTGTGATTTCAAGATAGGCGGATATACTCCTCCCTATCTCCAGAGGCAATCTGTAACAGGGTATAGAGTTTCCTGAGTGCAGGCTGAGAGATAGGCAACTGCTGGCTTCTCTTAGCAGATTATCAATTTCTAGCCTTAAACTGGCTTGAAATAATCTCCCACTGGTTGTCTGAGCACATGCAGATCCATCATTGAAAATTAATGGCCACTTATGACTTTTCAAGAACTTCTGGGGGGGCTGGCCTGGTGGCATAGTGGTTAAGTTCGTGTGTTCTGCTTTGGCGGCCTAGGGTTCGCTGGTTCGGATTCTGGGCACGGACCTACCCATCACTCATCAAGTCATGCTGAGGCGGCATCCCACATAGAAGAACTGCAACTCTACAATTATGATATATAACCATGTACTAGGGCTTTGGGGAGAAAAAAGAAAAAGAGGAAGATTGGCAACAGATGTTAGTGTAAGGCCACTCTTCCTCAAAAAAAAAAAAATGAAAGAACTTCTGGTGATGTCTCCACCCTGCCTGCCTGCAACTTACCTATGCCATATATCTGTTAACGAACATAATGAACCATTTATCTGGTCGACCCTGGGCTGCCTTAGCCTATGCTCAAGATTGGCAGCAGCTTCAGGACCATCTTATGGCAGTAGCAGGAATGAGTGTTGATGGAGGCGCCAACATGCCCTCATTCCCAGAGATAGAGGCCTGTGGTCAGCCTCTATCTGCCCAATGGGCAGAATATTCTGTTTCAGGGAGTCCTGAGCCCCCACTCAACTTCTCAGGTTCTAGTTATGTCCGATCTAGTCTACACTGCCCATCTGTGAGTCTGGACAGCAGAAGCTGCATTTTTGAACATGGATAACCAGTTGGGATCACATTTCCCTACCTGCCCTCATTTCCCCAACATGCTGTATTGGCAGAGTGTGATAAAAGTTCACCAGGGCAGTGGGGAAGTCCAAGGTATTCCGGTACCCAGGCTAGCAGAGTTCATCCTGGGCAGGTCACTTAACCCTGCTGTGCAGAACTGTTAACCATCTCCACGCCGTTCCTCAGTTGAGATAGAACCCAACCCAGGCCTGATGCATGTTCCTCAGTTGAATTAGAACCGAACCCAGGCCTGATGCATGGCTCAAATGACACAATGGGTATGAAGACACCTTGGGAAGATTTCTCTCCTAAGGAGAGGGAAGGGACACTGGGGTGAAGTGAAACAACCAATCCCTGCCAGAAGTGCTGCTGAAGATGCTGCAGGCAGGTCAGCAAGAACAGATATCCAGGCACAGACTTAACCTGAGGCCTCAAAGACATGTTTTGTTATTTTCTTTTCTCCTTTAAACATGAATTTCAGTTCTGGCTTACAATCAAGAGTCACGCACAAAGGGCTTCACAGTTTATTTATAACATTGGCTATAACTTTTTGAGTTCTATATTGTGGGCCAGGCACTTTCCTTATTATGATTCTAATCTTCACAATTATATTTTACATTAGAGCTCCTCCTCTTCTATCTCAGACGAGAATGAGGCTCCGAGAAGTTAAAGGACTTGCCTAATCTGCCCAAGAGCAAGGATTATAACAGGTCTTTTCTTATCCCGTGGATAGGACCCGTGCTCCTAAACCTGATTCAATGCCGCCTTCTTCTCTGGGTAAGAAAGACTTCTGAGGCAGGTGGAAGGAAGCAGGGAGAGAAGCAACAAGAGGCTCTTAGATTCCGGAACACACCCGACCGTGTAAAGTTCACCTCTACACACATAAAGTTTTTTTTTTTCAAGTCATTGAACGGCCGACAGACTCTACCGGCCATCTTGGTTGTGGCAATCCCAATTCCTTTTTATTTTTCTGTGACGACAACCAAGGGAATTAGGCAAAGCCCCCATACTCAGGCTTTTTAAGGAGCACCAGCGTCTCCCCGGGCAAAGAGCGCCGCTCTCCCGGCCGCCGAGGCCCAGGGCGTGGGCCGTCCCCAGCGCGGCCTTCTCTCGGCCTCTGCTTCCAGCTCCCGGGTCGGCGCCGGCCCGGGAGAGGCTCGGGTGAGCCCGCCGGGCCCCGCCCCGCGGCCCCGCCCCCTCACTTAAATACGCGTCGCCGGCGGGCGCGTCGAGCTCGCCGCGGACCCAAGATGGCGGCGTGTGGACGTGTACGGAGGATGTTCCGCTTGTCGGCGGCGCTGCAGCTGCTGCTGCTCGCCGCGGCCGGGGCCCAGAAATACCTGAGCCAGGGCGGCCACAGCCAGGGCCAGGGCCCGGGGGCCAAAGTTATTTCCTTCGTAGGGCAGCCTGGAGGCGGCGGGGCAGGGGGTCAGCAGCCGCCTCAGGCATCTCAGCTCCAGCAGCAGCAGCAGCAGCAGCAGCAACAGCAACAGCAACAGCAACCGCCTCAGCCACCGCAGCAGCTTTTCCCGGCGGGTGGGCCTCCGGCCCGGCGGGGCGGAGCGGGGCCCGGCGGGGCAGGCGGCGGCTGGAAGCTGGCAGAGGAAGAGTCCTGCAGGGAGGACGTGACCCGTGTGTGTCCCAAGCACACCTGGAGCAACAACCTGGCGGTGCTCGAGTGCCTGCAGGACGTGAGGGAGGTGAGGAGGCAGGACGGGGCCGGGAGGGCCAGGCCTGGTGCGGCCCCGAGGGTGTCGCCGGCCTTAGAAGCCGCTGACGCTGGTCTGCTGTGTCTCTTGCTTCCTCTGCTGCACTCCCTCCCTCCCTCCCTCCCTGCCCCTCGCTTCCCGGCGCGTTCCAAAAAGAGGACCCCACCCCCACCCCTCGTTCCCTCCCTGGTGCGGGGGGTCTGGAAAGGAGACCCCGACTCCTGCCGCGATCGGCGAAGGCCCACAGCGTGTTTATGTTTGCTCGGGTCTTTTGTGTGATGTTCTAAGCACAGTGGCTCCTCGCCGAAGACCTGCTCAGGATTTTGCCATCCGTTTCGACTTGGATAATTTGTAGCAACCTTTGTAAACATGCAAAATGTTGGCGTACTTGAACTGTTAAAGAATGATCTGCTCTTTATTGGCAGTAGGTAATGTTTGTTTAGGTAACTCGGGTGCTATTCTGATGTGTATTGTAATCAGCAGCCCAATTTACCGTCTTGACCGCATTCTTTTGTAATTCGCAAATTCCTGTTATCTACCGGCTGCTGAAAATAACGTGTGCCTTTTTTCCCCTTCACTTCTTTTGTTCAATTTGTAGTGAATCTCAAATTAAAGCTATTAGTCCAAGTGATTTAGAGTTCCAAAGCTTGAAAAGTTGGGGCAGCATTTGAAGCTGTAATACATATACAGCATTTGTGTTGGGGTTGTGAGGTCTTGCTTTTCTGATGTGTGAATGATTTTAACAGTACCTCTTAATGATCTAGATTTGATGTTTGATGTGATTCGGTTAAGTGACATAGAGAATTTCTTCTCTAGATTTAATGCTGCACACATAAGTGCGTATTGGACAATTTTCAAAGTTTTGGAGCAAATCTGGTAGCGATACTTTTTTTTAATTTAATGTTTAGATACATAGAATTAGGCCCAAAGGTTGACGAGTAGAATGAAGCTGCTGCTTGACACAGTTTTGTTTGGGAATTTGTGTCATCAGAATTGTCTAAGGTGTTCATGGTCATGGGAAGACCGCTGGTTTATAGAAAATTGCTAGTCTTAGCAGTTTTCCGCCCTCATCACACTGTGATATTTGCTCTAGAACAATATCTATATTCTATACAGAGCTTTTTGGAATTTTCTAGTTGGTCTTTGGGGATATATAGTAGATGTTGTTCCCTCAAACTAGAATCCTAATATTGGTGACCAAACACTTTGTTAGTGGTTTGTCGCAGAAACAGGACATTATTAGGGAAAGTGGCAAAAAGTGGCCCATTCAAGGAGTAGATGTCTGTTTCTTTGTGTGCATTAGGGATGTTTGGAAACCTCCACTTACAGGAGCAGTCTTTCTTTGTCATACATGTAGAAGTGTGTAGCAGCATATATGATCCATAAATAGCTTAGATTTGACCACTTTTGGAGTCTGTTTAATTTAATAGGTACTGTCTTTCTTGGATTACTTAGTGCAAAGAACCTGGCCTGAAAATGTAGTCCTTGCTCCATCTTTGACTGGAAGATTCTCAGGAAAGATATTGTTTTAGTACCTACATTTTCTTCCCTTTTTTTTTGGTCTGGGAAAGGTTCGCCCTGAGCTAACCTTTGTTGCCAGTCTTCCTCTTTTTTTCCCTCCTCCCCGAAACCCCAGTACATAATTGTATATTCCAGGTATAGGTCCTCCCAGTTCTTTTATGTGAGCCGCCTCCACAGCGTGTCTACTGACAGACAAATGGTGTGGTTCCATGCCCAGAGCTGAACCAGGCCCCTGAAGCAGTGCGCTGAACTTTAACCGCTAGGCCATCTGGGGCTGGCTCTACATTTTCTTCCTTTATGGGGATGATATATAAACTCTTTGAGAATAGTTGACTAGGTCTTATGTTTCCTTTGTAGCTGTCGAGAGTACCTGATTCAGTGCTGAGATGCAGTAAATGTTGTCAAATGATTGAGGATGACTAAACTAATGGAGTCAGTTTTATGCTCCAGAGGAGGAAAAGGTGTCATGTAAATTGGAGGTGGGGGTGTTTTGGGGGGCAGGGGTTTCCAAATTTCCAATTTAATTAATTTTCCTCCAATTTTGTATACGTAAAAATTGAAAGAAAAGTACCATGAACACCTGTGTATATTCTTCAGGAGGTGGGGCTATTTTTAAACTACATTTTTTTTTCTTTAAAGATAGCAAAAGGAGGGCCCGCCCCGTGGCTTAGCGGTTAAGTGCGCACGCTCTGCTACTGGCGGCAGGGTTCGGATTCCAGGTGCACACCGCCGCCTGGCTTCTCTGGCCATGCTGAGGCGGCGTCCCACATACAGCAACTAGAAGGATGTGCAACTATGACATACAACTATCTACTGGGCCTTTGGGGGAAAAAAAGGAGGAGGATTGGCAATAGATGTTAGCTCAGAGCGGGTCTTCCTTAGCAAAAAGAGGAGGATTAGCATGGATGTTAGCTCAGGGCTGATCTTCCTCACACACACAAAAAAAAAGATAGCAAAAGAAAATTTTATTCCACTTAGTTTGAGAATTAGTTAAATCTGATTTATGTATTTGAAAGAGCATAACTTAATGACAGAAGTAAAAGAGCTAGGCACATTTGAAGTGAAATTGTGGAATATGTTTTGTATTTCCTTTTTGGTAAGTAGAACTGTTTGATAGGGAAGTAGATGTGCTTGTTTATCCCTTTGGATACAAATTTGGGGAAGATTTTTCTCTGTGTAGTTGCTATTAGAATTATGAAAAGGCAAAGCGTGTAAGTATTTAAATGGCAGTATGGTAAACCACATTTTTATTTTGAAACAACATGGGAATATTTAGTGTTAGGTTAAGTCTGAAGTTCAAATATTTTAAGGTTCTCTCCAATGTAGTGTTCAAAGTTATGTAGTAATTCACTTACACAATTTATTTGAAGGTATTTATGGTTACCTTTAAATAATTTCAACTGATACTTTCATTTTATTTAATGCAGCATATGCCAACAAATTAAAAATGTACGTGTAAATTATAGTAAAACTGCATATAGACTATAGATTAGTTCACACCTTTTCCTCCCTCAGTCATTGTGGCCGTTATTTTGAAAGTGTGTGCTCTTTTTTTTTTTTAACTCTCAGATGAGTCATGGTTTTTAAAAGGTCAAATGTACCCAGTCGGCCCACTGTTAAATAGTAGGTGTAATAACAATATTGGTGGGATAGTAGTCCTGGTTATATGTATATATAACTAGTAGTAGTTGTAGTTATAAAAAATATAACTAGAAAGTATAAGGGGAAAAATACACCCTGGCTGGTTTTAACAGGTGGAGGAATAGCAATACCAAAGAAAAAGAAGATACTACACTTCTAGCTAGTATTTGATAAAGAGATAAGACATGCTTTATGTTGAGAGTGATTTTAAAATACTTCATATATTTTTGGCTAAAATTATCAGTTGTATCTTGTGTTTATAAGTTTCAGATGGAGACATTGGTTCCTTAGGAGAGGTTTATTAGTGATGTGCATAGTTTTTCTTAGATTTAAAAAACCAAAAAACCTTCTACTATGGAAAATTTCAAACATACACGGAAGTTGAGAGAATAGTATGATGACTCTCCATGTATGCATCACCTAGCTTCAACTATCTGTACTTTTTTTTTTTTTTGGCACATGAGTTGGGAGACTGGCATGTTTTAAAGCAAATCCCTGACACTATGTCATTTCACTTATAAATACTTCAATATGTGTCTCTGATAAGGACTTAAAAAAAATAAAACTAGAACCTAAGTGTAATTTTTTAGTATTTAAAAACATAATGAAATATTTCTTCTAAATTTCATGGTACCTTCTCTTGTTATATCAGTTTAGATTCTCTTGATATATCAGTTTTAGATTATAAATTTGTGGACCACTATCTCTAAGCTATGCACATAGCGAATGCTTTGTAAATATTTACTTAAGGTGTACTATTTTATGTTTTGAACAGGAATTAACATTTCATCATTACACACTGTAAACCCACTTTCAAACTCATAAAGTGAACGTTTTCCTTACTGTATGCTTAACCTTTCACTTAACTGTATCCTAAGGTAGTGTACCACCCTATCTATATTATTTAATATTCTTGATAGTCCTGTGAGGTAGTGTTATCTTATTATCTGAGTTGAGAAATAGGCTCATAGAGATGAAGTAATTTGTCCAGTGTTACATGCTAAGTAGTAGAGCTGGTATTTAGCAAGTTTTCTTTCTTTCTTTCTGTTTTTTTGTGAGGAAGATCAGCCCTGAGCTAACATCTGATCCCAATCCTCCTCTTTTTTGCTGAGGAAGACTGGCCCTGAGCTAACATCCGTGCCCATCTTCCTCTACTTCATATGGGATGCCGCCACAGCGTGGCTTGACAAGCGGTGCGTTGGTGCACACCTGGGATCCCAACCTGCAAACCCTGGGCTGCCGAAGTAGAGAGCGAGAACTTAACCACTGCGCCGCGGGGCTGGCCCCTAGCAAGTTTTCTCTGATTTCAAAGACCTTACTCTTTCAAGTCTACCCTGGATAGTTGCAGCTAGCAAAAGTAGTACGTGACTGTTGAGAATGTTAGGGGTTTATAAATGGACACAAAATGAGAGGGGTCACCTGGAACTAGAATCCTCTTTTTCTTCACTACTGAGAACAGTTGGATAGCAACAGCTCTTATACATTGGAATATTGTAGATTTTTCAGGCAGACAAACCAGCATTATTAGACAAAGCTAATTTAGTTACTAGTCTGAGTCTATCAGGAGCAGAATTTCTACTTAATGAAAAGATTTTCAAATCCCATCTCACCTTAAGCGGGATTTGTACTAGTGTAATGGAAGAATTTAGATATATTTCCTGACTATTTGTATTTTTTTTAACATTTTTTAAAAATTTTATTTATTTATTTTTGTGTGTGTGAGGAAGATCAGCCCTGAGCTAACATCCATGCTAATCCTCCTCTTTTTGCTGAGGAAGACTGGCTCTGAGCTAACATCTATTGCCAATCCTCCACCTTTTTTTTTTTCC